TACAATCATTTTAATGGTGCATTTCTTCTAATACAGTGGTACCTTGGTTTGCAACCGCTTTGGATTACAACCATTTTGGATTATAACCACGTCAAACCCTGGAAGTGTGTGTCCCTTTTTTTTGGATTACAGCCCATTTTTTTTGGATTACAACCAATTTGGGGGGGGGGAGGCCCCATTGGTGAAAGCGCACCTTGGGTTCCAACCTGTTTTGGTTTACAACCGGACCTCTGGAACGGATTATGGTTCTAAACCAAGGTACTGCTGTATACACATTGCTGTTGTTGTTTAGTCGTGTCCGACTCTTCGTGACCCCACGGACCAGAGCACGCCAGGCACTCCTGTCTTCCACTCTATACACATAGTCGCAACTAATTTTCTCTAATAAAATGCATTTGTATGTTACTTTCACCTCTCACCTACCTCGTGCATTTTTATCCCTCCCTTTTTATAACTACGTTGCAAAAATTTGGGAATTGTGAATTTCAAAGCATAGCTGTGTTTTGGCTCACCTGTCGTTTTGTTAACTGCAAATTAGGAATGTTTGCATTAAAACACAAACTACACTGAATTTCTTTCCTGCCGTTACCCATGATTCATTATATTGATCAAATGTCTTTCTGAAGAAATGGTCTAAGTGATGTGCAATTTATCCATCTTGAAATGAAGAATATGTGACTGGCTGAACATTAGAATGTTTAGACTAAGTTGCCGGGGGGGACCATTATGGTGATGCTGTACATATTTGTTTGGACCTGTTTTGATCTGGTAGAAGGGTTTTCTTTTTCATCCAGTTAAGCACATGGATGATTATTTGTCCTAATCCTGCCTTCTGTAGAAAGATTATCTCCAGTATTGAAGCTTGACTGTTACTCTCTCAAAGCCAGTTCACATTGCTGATGTTCAGTACACAGGCATGTGTATACCACCCTGGGAGGCAATCTGGGATGTTTCCTCCTTCCTTGCAATCACTGTATCCAGGAGTGTGGTCTATTTCTGGAACTGTGAACCTCCTTTAATATGGCAAGTGGTAAAAGAGGTTGCTTCTTCTCAGATCTTTAGAAATTCAGTTTTGCAGCTGAAATGATAGGATGTCAGGACCCGTGTTTGCAATCTCAATTGCTTCAGTGCTGCATTCATATCCCTAGCAATGAGATGTTGGATTAATGAGATGTATTCATGCCCTTAAGAGTGGTTATGTTATATTAAGCACTGCACATATGTAATCAGCTAATAGCAGATACATCCGTCAAAATGTGTGGGAAAGGATTTGTAAAGCACTTAGACCAAGAGGCTTAGGAGCCTCTTCACTAAAGGTGGATAACAGTTCATTTAAATTTCCGAGAGAAGGAGTGTGCCATGAGGAATGAGAGGCAGAGAGAAGCTCTTCTGTTTTCAGGAATGTCAGATCAGACAGATTCCTTCCTTGTTTTAGCATTGTACACATCACCAAAGCACAAAAGAATGTAAAAATATGTGGTCACTTAATATTACATGTATGTGCACTTTTTCTTCTCTCTTTAAAATTACAGTTTCAGTATTGATCTTTATTGCCAGGTACAAAGACAGAATATCTTTCTTTAAAATAAAGAAAAGACATTCCACTGAGCAGCACATAATCTGATACAATTAGATTTCTGTTGTGGACTAGCTTCTGAATAGCAAGAAAGAGGCTGACACCAGACCTGGGTTCAAATTGGTTGGGACTTTATTGGTTAATTGAAATCATTAACTGCATCACCTAGAATCAGGGTGGGGTTCCACTTGATTCTCTTTATCCAACTACTGTTCTAAAGCCGTCACATTCCTAACCCTCCACGAGAAAGATGGGCCTTGTCCTGTGAGTTCCTGCCTGCCAAACAATGATGCCAGCAACAGTGGCCAACTCTTGCAATAACCATAAAGTCCTGGCAACCATGAGGTCTCACAATGGCCAGGAACCACTGTGAGATGTTCATCCTAAAGTCTCACAATAGCCAGGAACTGTCCTCAGCCACTGCAAAATCAGCTTGATAGTCAGTCAGTGCTTTCTTTCCAGGTCCTATAGTCCTCTGCCATCAGGCAGGCTTTGCTGGCAGTGGTGGGGATCTTTCCTCAGACTTAATAAGAAATATTAATTTTGCCAGTTGTTAATCTATTTTTTTTAAATGATATTTATTAAGAATTTTAGAATTACAGAAAAAAACAAAAAAACAAAAAGAAAAAAACAAAAGAAAAACAAACCACAATCCAACAATACAAATTGATAAGAATCAAAATCAAAAAATAACACAACACAATCAAAAGACAAAAATAAGCCACAAACATTTAAAAACAAATCCAATATTCTCAAATCCTTAACTGTCATTACCTTCTTTCTTTGACCTCCTCACTCCTCCCTTTTTTTGTATCCTAGTTGTTAATTGTCACAGCAAATCCTTTCCATTTTTCATAATATTCTGTCATTACATTACCTTAATCTATTTTAATCTTATCTTACTATAAAAAACCTTAAAACTTGAAATTTAGATCTTATTTATACCAATTTCTCATAACCATAATATTCTTACATAATTCTTTAAACATTTTTACTAAAGCCAAATAATTTCGTTCCAACATTTTTCTAGCATTTATCAATTTTATAAAACAATCCTAATAAAAAAAATTTTTTCTTCCAATCTTCATCCAGCGTCTCTTCCTCCTGGTCCCGGGTTTTGTCAGTCCTTTCTATCACATCAATCTAGCGCATTAACCTGGTAATCTTATGTCCGAGGCCCTTAAGTCTCTTCCATGTCCCTTCCGCGGCTCTTCTTCATATTTATACCTGTACTTTACTTTGTCTCCTGCTCCTTTCACTCGTGGGAACTCCAACTTAACAGTGTTTTTGACCCTTCTCGACAAATCAGCCCCTTTTCCATAGTCCACATTGAACTCCATTTGGTATTTAAAAACATGTTTCAAAGTCCCTCCAGAATTAAGAGCCCCCACAACCCCAAACATCTCACGGCCCATTGCCAGACTTGAAAAGTCCAAACATCCCTGCATAGGGGTCTATCCAACCCCCATTTCCAAACCAAACCAAACTTTATCTTTCCAAATCTGGATTTTTCCAAGTTCATTTGTCAGATCCAAAAACTCATGTTCCTGCTGGGCCACAGCTCCCTCCATCTCTGGCGCCCGAGGTCCAACAACAACCTCCTCCCTCATCTGATCTGTCAGAGCACACTCCTGAGTTGATTCCTGGGTGGGTTCTATATAGATACCCACTACCTGTCCAAAATTTCTGATCACAGCAGTCATCACATCCGTCTTCTCATATAGCTGTTCCAGTAGGGCACTTGTTTTGCAGAAAGCACGCACCAGAGCTTCTGAATACATTGTTCTGCAAGGTCAGAAGTCTATTCCCACGATCGTAATCTGTTGCAGCTGCAAGCTCCCTGATTCAAAATTGGTAACAGTTTCACAGGCCCCTGTAGGGGAAGAACTTCTATTTGTTCTTTTCTTTTAAAAGCAGATCTAACAACAAAGTTTCCTTTTTCAGATATTTTGTCAATATTTGTTCCTTTAAAATGCGAAGGGGAACAATGGAATCACTATGTTTCTCTTCTTTTAACTATCTGTCAAAAACGCTTGTCTCTGGTCAATGAGCTTCAAAGAACGTCAGTCCTGGCACCCCGCTCCCAGGATCAAGACGGTGGAAAATTACTTTGCTTTACACTCTCTTCTGCAGGTTTAAACAGTCCGAAAAAAATCCCCCCTCTTCTCCTGCTTCCGAAGGGGTTTCAACAATTTTAAATGATGAAAGTTAATCCTTTACAAGTGATTTTCTGAACTCCAGTTTGCTATGTCTTTGCTTTAATCTATCTACAAGAAACGGAAGGCTGACTTCCTGTTTAGACCTTCCCGTTTCAGTGCCAAATTGAGATAAATTTCTTAGTCCAGTTTTCCTTTCTACTCACTGGTCATTATTTAAAGTCCAATTGTCCGAAATTTAAGTACTCACGGGTAATTGTTTTAAAAGCCAAATTGTCCCAGGAAAAAGGCAGCGCTCTCCGGCAACGGCTGTGCGGTTTCGCTCCGGAGCCCGTAAGTGGGTTCCTTTACGGGTTGGGGGGGCGCTAAAGGTGCCCGCCGAGTCCCATGGTCACAGGCTTCATCCGCCTGTGATTTTTGAAAGGGTCCCTGCTTCGCCGTAGCGGGAAAGACCCATTTTCCGTGGAGCTGGTCCCTCCAGATCAGAGGGAATCTGCCCTTACCGATGGCGCCACACCGGAAGACACCAGTTGTTAATCTAACTGATGGCAAACCATATAGCTTGAGCCCTGGGTCTGCCATGAAAATGGCTGTCAGTTTATTACCATGGTGGTGACATATTTCCATAGAAATTAGGAGTGTGCAGTAATTTCAGCCAACTCCTGGGGAGCTTCAGAGGGATTCCGGGCTTCTCAAAGCTGAAGTTGGATCTGTACAAGGTACCCTGAATCAAACCTCCCCCTCCCAAAGTGCCTTATGGTGGCTCAGGAAATTGGACACCCCAAAAATGCTACATACAAGTATCTGCTAAATGTTAAACTGATGTCTTTCAACTTAAAATATCCAGAAAATGCCAAGGGGTGCATAGAAGTTACAACAAAGGTGGGAAAGGGTAGGGGGTAGGACTTCCATTGTGACTGACAGGTCAAGCCTGTAACCAGAATGTATGATTTCAGCTCAACTCTCCAACGCCTATAAAAATGTTTGAGCCACAAGTATTAAAGGAAAAGAGGTAGAATCTTTGCAGCTTCTGAAAATCCAAAAGCGAATGCCTCTTATTTTTTTGCTTGTTCCTTTCTTTCTTTTTGCATTGAAGAGAACCATCTGCCTTTTATCTCCTTTTGTAAAAATAATAACAGCATCCCATTGTCAAGAATTTTGTCTGACATGTTGCAGCTCTCAGGGGGCAAACTCATCATACTTCTGGACGAGAATGCTACAGGGATACTTCTTTGTCATAAAATGATAATGTGTTTCTATAGCAAAATGCTGTAGCTCAGAGGTAATGTACATGCTTTGCATTCAAAAGGTTCCAGGTTCAATCCCTGGCATCTGCAGGTAGGGTTTGGAAATACTCCTGTCTGAAACTGTGGCGAGCCACTGCCAATCAATATCAACAGAACTGGGCTGGATGGATTTATGATCTGACTCAGTACTAGGCAGCTTCCTATGTTACAGAATTGGTATTACTGGTTTATTTTTACATCTTGTTGTTGTTGTTTAGTCGTTTAGTCGTGTCTGACTCTTCATGACCCCATGGACCAGAGCACGCCAGGCACTCCTGTCTTCTACTGTCTCCCGCAGTTTGGTCAAACTCATGCTGGTAGCTTTGAGAACACTATCCACCTATCTCGTCCTCTGTCGTCCCCTTCTCCTTGTGCCCTCAATCTTTCCCAACATCAGGGTCTTTTCCAGGAGCAGGAACCGGCAAGCCACTCCAGTATCCCTGCAAAGAAAACTCCATGGACAAAGACAACAGGCATTTTTTACATCTTACTTTCTCTTATTATCAAATGTGTGATCTTGAGAAAAACTGTAATTGCTCTCTTAGGCCACTTGAGCGGTTTCACAAATAAAGTTATGACATGGTCAGAGAACTTATGTTTTTGAGTCTTCAACCTAAATTGGAGAAATTTTGTGAACTTCTTTCAAGTAGGAAAAGAAGAGAGCAGAGAACCGCTGGGCATCTTTCACTGTAATGAAGAGGAATGTAGGACACCAGCTCTCTGGCTCTTGAGATCTGTCAGGAAAGAGTAAGGTTGGGCTTAAAAACCGCAATGTTTCTGTAGTAGCATTTCTTGATTAAAAGAGGAAAATGTGATAATTATGTATGTAGTGTTTCGCCCCCGCCAAGGTCACCTACTTTCCCCCACTTTGTAATATAAGGTAGCAGAGTATGCATCATGAAGTTAATTGCCTTAGTGATCAGTCTCGGTTAGCACAGTTGCTGCGGAGCACCCATTAAAACCCCAACTTATTTAGGCCACAAGAAGCACATGGAAATCTCAGTGCACCCTAACGGGGAATTTATTTTTTCCATCTTCCTTACATCTTTCTCCCTTGCTCCTGTATCACATCACAAGCTGCTTTTTAAACTAAGGGGAGCTCCAAAAAGCAGGTGGAGAGAAGGCAAAGGGGTGGGGAGATGATAAATAAGAAATTTAAATTTCGAGTACAATTTGAGAGAAAGAAATTGAAGCGATGGGGGGGCAGAAGAGGGGCACAGATAGGAGGGTAATAGCTGGAACAGTCCTTCAAAACACAGGGCTTTGTTCACCAGCAATGATCTGCATAATAAAAGGGGTAGGGCAGGAGTGGCCAACTCCCAAGAGACTGCTATCTACTCACAGAGTTAAAAACTGGCAGTGATCTACCCCCTTTTGGGGGGTTCAGGTCAAAGTTGTTGAGTTTTTTTCAAGGAGGAGGTAAAAAGTTGAGCTTTTATTAGGGGAGCCACAGTTGTTCAGCTTCTTTGGGGGGAGCCAATGATCTACCAGTGATCAACCGCAGACATCCAGTGATCTACCGGTAGATCACGATCTACCTGTTGGACATGCCTGGGGTAGGGAATAGTTTGTGGTGACATTGGATAGTGGCATCTGTGGCTGTGATCTCATTCATGTAGGGACAGATAAGTCGGTCACATTTAGCCATGTTCTGCTAACATGCCATTTGGATTACTGCTGGGCATTGCGTGTGGGTCTGCCACTGAAGACTGCTCAGAAACAGCAGCTGGTTTAGGAACACAGGAAGTTGTCTTATTCCTAGTCAGACCCATAGTCCATCTAGATCAGTATTGCCTTTGGCAACTGGCAGCAGCTCTCCATGGTTTCAGACAGGGGTGACTCCCAACCCTAGATTAAGATGCAGGAGATTTAACGCAGGACCTTCTGCATGCAAAGCAATTGCTCTGCCATTGAGATATGACTCTCCCCAAAAACAACACAGCAGCTAGGCTACTGAATGGTACCAGGCATATGGAACACATTGTACCTGGTTGTTGTTTTTTGTTTTGTTATTTTAACTGCAATCTATTAGGTATGGTGGAGCAATTCCATGCAGAACACATTTAAAACTAATTCTATCAAATTCTCAGTTTCCAACATAATATGCAAACCAAAGCACAGGTACCCTTTAATATGCATGCTTATCTAAATTTTGTGATGCTGTTTCCCAACCAATGTTTTGTTTTGTTATGTTAAAATGCTTATATTAAGGGCGAGTGTAATATAAATTGATATATTGGTGAAAATAACAAGCAAAAATGCATTAGAGAAAATTGCTTGCAGAAATGTGTACATTAGTCAAAACTGCATATATATAAGTTTTGTGTCATTTCAAAAAATAAAAATGTATTTTAAGGTACAGTATTGTTTTTATTTTGAATTACCATGACATTTTCAGTGTTTATAGCCTCCAAAGGTCTTAATCTGGTTTTGGACCCAAAAGACTGAGCGTTATGCTTTGTTTTCCCTGCACTGTTATTCATCATAGAGAAATGGCATGCTATTCTATTTAGAAGATTCTGCATAAGGTAGGATTTTTTCAGTGTCTCTGCTGTTTGAATATACCTTTTTAAACAGCATCAGTAATGCCCAATATAATTCCTAACATTTTTAGAGTCACTGTGCTATCTCATTGTCAAGAGCAGGAAGGGAAAATATTGCAATTTTAAATTGAAATATGTGCTGCCAGTAGTAATTCAGTTTATTTTGGCTTCTTATGTTATTACAGCATCCCTGAGTTATCAGAGCTGGCATAGAGGCATTCCACATTAATTGCAATTCTTTTTTTCTCTGCCCTTACTACTGGTTTAGATTTACAAGTATTTTAGGAAAAGGCCCTCCTGGAATTGTTTTGTTTTAATGAAGCATTAGAGCTGCACAGTCTGAAATGATTTTTCCAAAAGCACTACAGCATACCAATTACGTTTTGAATTGTCCACTCAGTGTGGAATTTTCTACAATGCACTGAAGTGACCCAAAACAAGGAGAGTGTTTTGTCCAGTCAAACTTTGAAGTCTCCAGTGCCTTCTCTCCTGAGAGTGCATCTTTATGGCAAGAGGGTTTGGTATGGATCCACACTAATTTGTATCTTCACCATGGCTCTTTCAAAACTTCTGGAGTGGTATTTTCTGAGGATAATGGAGAAGTATCCTCTATACCAAGGATGGGGAACCTGTAGCACTCCAGAAAGTATAGGACTATCACTCATGCCTGATTACTGGCTATGTTGGCTGGGGCTGATGGATGCTGGTGTTGAAAAACAGTTTCCCATCCCCACTCTGTAGCCTCTAGCCACTAGTGAGCTGAGCATGACTATGTTCTCACAACTGCTCAGAAATATTGAAAAATGGAGGTGGGGTAGATAAATTTGTTCATTGAATGCCCAGAAAATACAAACACTTCATTTCCTGTATAATCAGAGCCATCCCTCAGATAGGGTTAAGGCAGCCAACTAGTACATAGCAAATAGTCATTTGATTCCACACGACAGCCATAAATTCCAAAAGACATGCTTCTCCCTCTCCAGGGGAAAAAAAATAATATTGAGGGAGGGGGAGAGAGAGAGGGGAGGTATCCACTCTGTTGCATATTGTAACTATCTGATTCAGCCTTAAAACACTGTATTAAAACAAGTACTAACTTTGGACATTGTTGCTCCTGGACTGAAAATCCAAAAGATACTTTTAAAGGAAAAGTGAGGATAAAGACAGGTGTAATATAAGCAGTGCATGAAGAACACCAGTTATGTAGATCTCTCCCTTAGAGAGTTTACTAACTAAGCAATCTGTAACTTGGAAAATAAATAAATAAATAAATTGCTGTCCTCGCCTGACCTTCAAGGCCATCTTCAAAGCCAAAGGGTCAGATAATGGTGCAGCAAATTCAGTGCAAGTCAAAGTGTACCAGTCTTGCCTTTTTCCTGATCACTCACTTGCTCTCTCCATTGCCCATTGCTGCTCCCTCCTCCCTTCACCATGAGCTGAGAAAACTGAACAAAGTGCCCTTCTTAAGAGAGAAGCAGTGCAACCTTCTTCCCTTCTTAGGCATCTGGCTGCAGGGTGCTTTGTTCAGAAGAGTAGGGAGGAACAAGCCCCAGAGTGAGGCTGTGCACTCACTCTGCATTCCACCACTTGTTCAGAAGCTGTGTGCAAATGACATTAGCTACAATCCATATCTATTCTGTATCTTGTTTGCCATTTCTTAGGAAATACTGCATTTTGATGCATTTTTCTCCAAACCAGATTGGGTCCAAATTGAGAAAAAGGATAACCTAGCTACTTTTTAAGCTGGTATCAAGTGAGTTAGGAAATAAACAAATGAGCAAGGAGGGGTAAGAACTGCAGGCTTCAGTTGAAATTCAGCTTGTTGGCTATGCTGCTCTGACCAGTTTTGAATGTGGTCTCAAACACTGTGAACTCTCTTCTTATATTTGTCATCATCTAGATGCAGATGTAGGGATTGGTGAAACAAGATATTATTGCACCATATGACCTGAGATGTGAACCCCAGGATTTTGAACAAACATGCAATGGGTCTGAGGGGATATGCAAGTAGCAGATCACATTCTCACTCCTAAAAATATTGCTAATCCTTAAGTGGAAAATGGAGCCCTCTCTGAAAAACACTTGACATGGAATAGCTGTTTCTGCCAAACGCACATTTTCAAACATGCACCCTGAGACAGTTACAAGCACTGCTTCTGAAATATTCTGAACTATTTAGTTATTCTGAAGATGTGGTAAAAGAAATGCAGTCTTTTCCCCTTTCCTTTTTTTAAAAAAGTGGGGTTGTTTCCATAGAATATACATCTTCTGATGCTTGGGAGAAAGGTCATAAAATTATGGTGATGAAGTGGCCTTTATACTGATTAAATCTCTAATATTGTGCATCATTCATGATTTGCTGCAGAAATATTTTGTTTCACCTTCAACAAACAACGAACGGCATTTGTGCTGAAGACAAATCCTGCCTACTGTCGCCAGGTGCTGGGACAGATGGTCCCTGTGAAGGCAGAATGATGTGAATCTTATGGGTTCCCCCTCCTTTCCCTC